TTTTTTTTTTTTGACTAAAATATAATATACACGTGCCTACAAGAAGCATTAATATGGAAAGATAGGATAAAAACAATTTCACTTTTCTGCCATGTTTGCTTCGTACTTTTAAGCTCTTTCAATGCTTAGGGCCGGTCATTTTGTACACTCATGCTTTGCGCGCCGCGTTCACCGCTCAGCTGGTAAGTTGTTTGATTGATATATACCTCTTAAGACAAAGATTTCCATCTATTTGTAAAAGAACCAAGATAACACTGTATATTGGTTGATTTTTTAAATCAAGCATAACGTTTCCGCTATGTTTTTAGAATTCTTTTTCTGTAGCGGACAAGTATGCTTAACTTAAGCAGGCGTGGATTGCATTTGAAAAGATGAGATAGCCTGGAAGCTAGTCTAATGTATATTGGAATATTAATAGACCTTTTTACCTTGGTTGTTTATTGCCCTATTAAAGACCATGTGATGCCACTTTTGGGAGTTGAATAGTTCTTTCATGTGTTAATATGTTTTAACATTTTTRTCATAAAAGAATTCTCAGGAGAAGGCCACGTGATCCGGGGCAATTTGCATACGCAGTTTTAGTTAAAGAGGTCCATTGCTTGCCAATATGAGCAATGAAACTAACAGCTTTTTCAAGAGAAAATTTAGTTAATTTTCGGGAAAAAGGAATCACTCATTTAAAAAATAAATAAATGAATAGACTTTGTTAAAATTTTGTAGACTTTATGCTAAGGTTTTTTTGTAAATATATAGCATAGAATCAATACCAGCAATAGGTCATTCAAAATTTTGACTATGGGGGAGGTCCTGTGCAAAGGTTGTGGCGAAGAATATACGGAGTAATTATGAAACCGCTCCCAGTCCTATGTGGTGGTTTCTCTCTTGGAACAGAAGAATAACTTTCTACCCAACCTCAACGGCGTGGAGCAACCTCCCACATTAACACGAATACCACTGTACACACTGTGGACTAGCATTATTTTCTCTGTATATCTCCTATTTAGGTTTATTTCAAGTACTTAGAATACATTACCATTACAATATATAAGCTTATTCTTAAACTCATTAAGGTCAGTCAATTTGTAATTTCCGCAGTTGATAAATTATTCTATAATGTAATTCCTATATTCAAAAAAGCATTTTTTTTTTCTCCAATGGCGCAAAGAGCACATATTGTGAGGTTGTATGAGCTTATCGTACACGTTATAGAAGCCATGAAGTCTAGTTATTCTTGTCATTGTGCTGGCAAACACAAAGTCTTAAATCCAGAGTTGAAAGAATGAGAAAATGAAAGGCTGATAAAGGATTCCTATAAATGAATTTCAAAAGGCAATAGTCTAACATATTATTATTGATTGTGCACTGGATTTTCACTGATTTAATTGAAGGAAGCAGAGAAGGCGATATGAAATCGGGTGCCACTAATTTTGCTTAATGGATCGTCCTTAATTTAAGCTTTTTTTATGATTCTTTGAGGAACTGGTTTAAGATTTTTTTTTTTTTTTTTAAATATTTTCTCCTTTCTTTTTCTTCCTTCTTCCTTCCTTCTTTCTTCATTCTTTATTTCAAATAGATATGTTTTCAGTTCAGAATCAATCCCACGCAACAATTAAATGTCAGATCGAATAATCTTAGTGTTATGCCACTCWATGCCAAATCGTAGTCCAGACAAAGTAAATATTAAAGTGGATCATTGATCTGCACTATCGTCATATAGAATAATCGTCATGTTCAACAAAAATTGACATCAAATATTTTCAAAAAGAATATATTCAGTCATTTCAGAGAATACGAGAATGAGAATGTTTTTGTACATGTGTTACTTGGGGAAGCTACCCATTTGAATATGACCCATAAACTCTTGAAAGCCTCCTTTGCGTTGGCTATAACACCTTCTTCTTCCTCGCGATAGTACTTTATCGCCCCGAAAAAACATGACCTTGATTCGTTTGGTAAAAAAAGGGATGATTGCACCAAGAAAGCGTGGAAAGGTCACCCTTCATCCAAATCAGTAGATTCGTCTGTATTTATCGCGCAATATCTCACTTGATTGAACAGCATTGTTAGGAGCCGATGACCAATCTCACTTCAAACCAAACCTTGACCTCAAGATCAGTTTGTCTGCCATTGAAAACTTCCATCATTCAGGTCCAACGTGAGACTTTTACAAAAACTTTGTTTTTGTCTTTGTCGTCATTAATGTTCTTGTTGCATTCATGGCAGCTATCAGTAGTCTTTTAATTGTTTACACAATTTCCAAGACACCGTCTCTTCGGACCCCTTCTAATATCCTAATCCTTGCGCTTGCAATTTCTGATCTCGGAGGAAGTATCTTTTCGCAGTCTTTATACTGTGCTCTAAGGTTATCAGAGCTCAAAAAGAACGTTTCCTTGTTCTGTTCCGCTGGAAAAGTTCACATGTTGAGCGTATGGTGCCTTTGGACCGATCTCCTTTTTCACCCTGACAACTCTATCTGCCGATCGATTCCTGGCTGCATTTTTGCACCTGCGATACGAAGAACTTGTAACTTCGAGTCGGTATGGAATACTTTTGGTTGGTATTTGTTTGTTTGTTTGGTTTTTGTTTTCGTTATTGTTTCGATCTTAAGGATACTTGCTGTCAGTCATGGGATTCACATTGTAGCTATTTCAATATTATTTTTTTCATTGATGGCTGATGTATTTTTCCTGGTAATAATCTTTCGAGCCGTCCGCAGACACTCATTGCATATGCAAACCCAACGGCAATCAGCACAACAGTCTATAGACAGGCCCAGATACAAGAAATCTGTCAATACTATGTACTATGTGATTGGTACTTTCGCACTTTGCTATTTCCCATTCCTTGGAGTTATGATTGCACAAGTTATCGTCAGAAAACTGACCGACGAGATGCTGTGCTTGTATGTGATCACCGAGTCTCTGGTTATGACCAACGGCTTGTTGAGCCCCATTATTTACTTTTCGAAGAGAAAAGAACTGCGAAGTGCATTGTTTAATAACGTACGCAATATTTTGGACACATAAAAATAATTAAACATTAAACTACACTGTTTTGCTGCGAAGCAGTAATGTCTGAGGGGGAATGGGAGGTGGCATTTGTAGCCCCTTCCCATTTATAAATATATTTTTCCCTCATTCACTGACTCTGATGAGTACTATGATTCAACATTGCATTTTCTAAGAAAGCTATTTTATTCTTTTTTCGTTGTTCCAGCTTTTGCATTTCTTTCTAATAGTCTCAAAAATGTATTAGTAATTTAACCTGTGTATGTATTATCTGTATGTATTATCGTGTATGTACTGATTTTCCAAAATAGTTTAATGAACACGTCATCTGTCATTCTCTGGCACTATAACATAACAATAATGCATTATGCACAAAATAGTGGTAAGTGATCCTAGAACTGTAATCGATTTTAAACGCACAAATGGTTTCTAAATAATAGAATATTTCGTCACTGACAGATTCACGCTCCCTTAGATAATAAAATTATAGATAATAACTGAGAAAAGAAAAGAAAGAATAGTGACAGGTGAATATAACGTGCGCATGCGCACGCTCGTTTGTCTATTTGTGCAGCTCACAGAGATAATACTATTTGAACAAAATTGTCTATCAGAGTATTCTATCGCTACTGCCTTCTGAAAAAATATCAGGGATGCCATCCCATACGAAGTGTTTAGTCTTGTTTCGCCGGCTACATGACCTCAAAACATACCATATTCTTCATCTTCCYGGCGAATAAATAGCAAAAATCTACTTAAGGTATTTATTAAAAATATATTTCTTGCAAGAAAAAATGCATTTTTCAAGAATGAATCTGAAAAATACTTGATATTTTTCGACAAGAAGTCGTTTTTTTTTTGAGGTCATGAAGTCGGCAAAACAAGACGTAACAAATCGTAGTGTAAAAGATACGATATTTTTTACTCTTCCTGGCGAGTTAATAGCAAAAATCTACTTTAGATATCTACTAAGAATATATTTCTTGCAAGAAAAGGGGATTTTTATAGTTATTTAGTGCGCTAACTTACCTTTTATCAACGAAAAAACTACCCGAATCCGCAATCTTTTTTTTTACTACATTCTCGAATAGCTAAAATCCTGTAGAATGCCAGCTACAATGGCCGATTTCATCACGTGACCTCTTAGTGCAAGTCGCCTATTGAATGACTTATTTTCTTCAACTGTCCTTGTAAGAGTAAGAGTCTCTGAAAGAAACTTCCCTTTTGTCGAGTTTACCACGGTAGCATACGTCAAACGACAAGCTACTAAAGGATACATATTAACTAAACCTTAGTATTAGTACCTTCAAAGCAATCATGAACAACTCGACGTTTCTTGCGAAAAGCAAGACGTTTTGCCAGCCCGTAAGGATTTATTTTCGCATTTTATCTTACGATAACCATTATTACTCGTATTTGCACGGCCTCATCGTGTTCAACTCAATCATGGCGTTTGTAGCAGGCGTCAATAACGTTCTAGTCATTTGTACCATCGCTAGAACGCCATCTCTACGTAAACCTGCCAATATCCTAATCCTTGGTCTGGCCTTATCTGACCTTGGTAGCAGTCTTCTGGCCCAGCCTTCTTATTGCTTCTTTTTGTTCGCGGATATTCAACATGACGTCCATCGCTTTTGCCAATCTGGAAAGGTATACGCGTGGAGTGTGTGGATGTTCACGCCCGTATCATTTGCGACTTTAATCTCCGTTACTGCTGATCGTTTTCTAGCTGTAGAACTACACTTGCGATATCAAGAGCTGGTCACCACAAAGCGCTATGGCATAGTTCTTATACTTATTTGGGCAATCGGTTTAGTAATTTCCGTGTCTACCATAATCTTTGTCTTCAAGACGTTCCCCTTGGTTATCACTGGATCGGTTATCATTGGTACCTTAATTTGTGCTAACTCCTTTTTCTTATTTAAAATTTCTCGAGTGATCCGGCGACACTCATTGCAGATCCAAGCCCAACAGCAATCAGTACAACAGTCTATAGACATGCCCAGATACAAGAAATCCGTCAACACCATGTACTATGTGATTGGTGTATTTCTCTTTTGTTATATTCCTTTAATCATCACGATGGTCGTACATTCGATTTTTAGAAAGGACACCAAAGTTACCCGCTACATGTATACCTTTTCAGAATCTCTTGCGCTCGCCAACGGAGTCTTAAATCCAGTTCTATATTTCTGGAGAATTGAAGAGCTGCGAAAGGCTGCATACAACCTATTGAAGAAGATGTGGAAGTGCGATACTGAAAGCGTTTAATATTACCGTAAATGTTTTTAAATTATCAGCCGCGTGCATTCCCGATATGTTTCGCAAAGATCTTTTAGGAGAACTCAGACTAACATCATATTCGACAAGAAATTAAACGTAGCAAGTACGAAGAGAATGGTTAGGGAAAATGCATTATATCGATTCCAGAACTGCAAAATTGTAAAAATGTTTTCCTTTTTAAAATACATCTAAACACTTGGGATGCTGTGATAACACTTGAGAAAGGGGAAACAGTTCTGCTAAGTGTTTTCCTACGCAGAACAGAGAGAAGTGTTAGGAGAGGCACAACGCGTAGCGGAGTGCTTCTCTAACACTTTCCAAACGTTATGCAAATCCTCAAGTGCTTTATAGCTTCAAATAAACATCACACCAAGCAAGTTCCTTTCTCTTTCTTTTTTAAAATACGAATAACAAAAATCATTACCTTTACATGATTCATCTGTGTTGGGATGTAAAAGTTAATAAAGCCGATTTTGAACTTTTAATCACAACACAACGATAATTTTTTACCTATAATAATAAGAACTATAGAATCAGTGTTTTCGAAACTTTTGATCGAAAAATCATAGCGAAAGAATCGTTATATTTTGATAAAGTTCAATATCTTTATAAATACTATCTTTAGATTGGATGAGCTAGAATGAATACATCATCTGTCATTCAACTTGACAGCATTATCAGTTTTCTTAGCCAGTGAAAAAGACATCAACATGTCAAGCACTGGCAAGACAAAGTAGTGTGGCTACGCCTTGTAAATCTGCATAGTAGTACAGTACTTTGAAAATGTGATGACGAAATGTATCGTAAATAAGAGGACAGACACATAAAAAACTGAAAAAGCGCGCTCTCCTTGACGTCAGCTTTATCTGTCTATTCTCTTATTGATGATAAAAAATAGCCAATCAGCGCGAGAGAAATTTGTAAGTTATTGTAACAAGAATTTCAAGTTTCCCTCAAGAGGTTCAACACACTTATTTTAAGACATCATCTCAGTGAAACTACACGTCAATAATAAGAGCAATATTTTTATCCGCTACCACGGCAGCTGTCTCGCAAAGATCAGGAAATATATAACAACGTACTCTGGTCATCCCACCTTCATGCCTCTAGTTATTGAAAATATTCATTCGAAATTAAGAATTTTATTTCAAATTTCAGAATTCAAGCCGGCTATCTTGAGCGTCCATCCAAACAATCGGGTAGTTTTCCCAATGGAATACAGAATGTCTAACCAACAAACTCGATTAATTTCATGAGATATTTTGGCAGCTATGGATTTTTTCCTTTAAAATGCACCTTTATAATGCATTGATCCTAAGACAGACATTTAAAATTTTCAGCAATCCGGCGGTGTCTGTTCCATGCTGTATAGCAAAAACACATCTTATTTTGTTAAGAAATTAGGAAGAATAGCATGCTGGAAATGAGAACACTCACTATGGGCAAACATAACTAGCGAAGGCGCAACAACTAGCTACAGAAATGTTATGAAAAGATACAAGATATTAATGGGATTACTGATTTTAGATTTATAAGATCTGGAAAAGTAAGATCAATTTAGGAGAAACTTTTGTGTACTCCGGATATAAGGAAGAACACCAGAGAGGAGTTGCACTGAATTGTGATGACACCAGAGGTGGAAAGAGGTTTATATAAATGGGAAAGACTCTATTGTTGTGCCACCTGTCTTGGCTGCCATCACGTGTTGGTGCAAAGCCTCTATAGATTATTTGGGATCCGATAAGGGTCTTTTGGGAAAAGAAGAAATGAAGTAAAAGAATAGATGACTGAAGATCTATACAATTAGAAAAAAAAAAAATGAGGAAAGGAAGGAGATCAAACAAAAGGTAAACAGCACAAGATCAATAATTAAATAAAAAACAGTGCCAGAAAATTGAAAAAGAAATTAAACGTAAATGCTGTGAAGACAAAAGAGAACATGAACTGATGAGTTGATAAATGAAGCTCGAGGAGGCTGCCAAAAGAGGTGAAAAATGTATACTATATTAAATTACAAATTTTTGTTTGCAAAATTGCAAAATACAAAGGTAGAAACAGTGTTTTAAAAGCATTTGGTAAACTCCCAGGAACAGGAAGACTCTTTTGATGTCCAACAGCTTGTTAAATCTCATTATCTGCTGCTTGAGGAAACGAGATTTGCGAATGGCCTCCGTTTCGTTGCTGCGTAGAATGTGCAACTCAGATTTAAACAGCTGAGAATTCAAAAAAATCATTGCGATTCCATATTCTTTTTTAACAACTTCGACGTCAACTCAAATGTATCCTTTTGCAGTGTAGCCAAGCCCCCTTATAAGAAATTAACCAATCACAGCGTTCATTAAAAACGGAAACCAATAAAGAGAGAGATAGAGAGAGTAGAATTGTAGCATATAAATTGATCTTAGCCAATCAAAAAGCTTTCATTCCTGCGGATCTATTTATCTGAGTGTTCGAAATGTTATCAAATCTGGACTTCGTTTCTTGCTACTGACTGGCTATATTGAGAAGTCCGAATTTTTAGTAATCGTCAGTCATCTATGCTAAATGTCCGCAAGATAATTTGGGGAATGAGATGGTGAAGTCAAATATACCGTAGGACTCCTCAGGAATCGCATTTTTTTAGTGACTAGAAGTCCATTACTTATGAAATACAATTCGCAATTCGAGTTTTACAGACATTAACGTACTAGATTCCCAAGAAACTAACAAAAAAGTTCTGACAAAATGCTTACTTCCTTGATTATAAATGTTTTCCGAAATAAATTCGCATGCTAGTCCCTTGGGATCATTTTTAACAGCCGAGGGTTTGTGAAGGTAAATTAATTAAACGAACCTTGCAACAAATACAATATTTGTATTTACTTTGAACAAGGCTTAATGCTATCTGGCATGTCCTCAAACTCAGTTCCCTAATCAAATGCACCATGAGATCGTTACATACCCTTCTTCATTTTAACTTCAAAAAGTAAGGGGGATAAAAATAAAAGCCAAACAAAAAATTCAAATCATGCGGTTAAAATATAAGTTGTGTATATAAGTTTAAATATAAGTTGTTCACATGTGATCAAGCAAGTGAATCAAGCCTACTTGTCATAGCTTTTCAACTAGGCTGGACAAGTAGCCGGACACGTCTTGCTTAGCTCTCCACCCAAAGGGTTTGAAATAATTGTTGACCATGACAAAACAGGAGCAGAACTTGAAGACGAGAAGCATTTACTTGAAAGAGTTTTAATTTCACTTGACGTCAGTTCACTGGACCAAATGTTAAGGTCAGCCAGGTAACCAATCATGAGTTTGGAGGAATCGTATCTACCGCCATAGCTACCCTGGTATTGACCAATCACCAGCTTGCCTCCGCTGKGAACTTTCTCGCCAATTTTGAGGCCCATCCCGTAGCCTTTCAAGACGCTATTGAGGTAGAAGTATACTTTGCCTGTGCTGGATCTCCAAGTAATTGCACAGTGTTGCCATGTGTTGTCCCGTCTCAGTCCCGAAGACAGGGACCTAAAAAAGTAATGTTTAACATCAACTTCGTTACATCAAGAATTTAAAAAACCGGACAACCTGAAAAAAACTCAAATTAAGGGAGAGATCCAACACATATATGTGATGCGTGCCATAGGGAGAAATTGCATTCAAGACCTTACAAATACGACTCGGGATCCGGACTGACTGAAATGGGTGTGGAGTTAATAACTTGCTTGTTAGTTCTTGTCTGTGCTTCAACGAGGGCCTTTAATTCTCCGGGTTCTCTGTTCTCCTCTTTCGCAATAGGCAAATGATGTCATTTCACATCATTATATTTCCTATCATTTTATGTCATGTACAACTTGACGTGATGTAATACATTTGTAATTTTATTTCACGTTACGCAGGAAAAGATAGTCTCCCGAGCAAGAGACTTATGACTAAAGCACTAAACAACTCGACCCCAGATCGGATTGGAATTTAATTTACAAGTGGATTTTTGTAGAGAAAGGAAAACCGGAGTAAGAGGAGAAAAACCTTAGAAGCACTGTAAATAACAAACAAACAACTATACTTGCATACGACGATAGCGACGGACCCAGGAACCGAACCCTGGTACCTGAAGTACCTGTACTTTTCAAAAAATGAGGATCTCTTTGTCTGTAAAACTTACTTTGTTTCTCCCGCGACCGTAATTTCTGCTGTAGCGTCTTCCTTTATACCAATAAACCAGGCTGAAGTGACATTTGTAGTGGCATACGAAAACGGATACAAGATAACCGTTGGGTGAGATACTTTTATCCAAAACGACACGGTAAAACTACCCAGCTCAGCAGACAGCGCGCTATCTATTACAATGGAGTTGGACGTCGATGTAGATGGAAAATGAAGCTCACAGTTTGAACCTGAAAAATAAGAAAAATTGATCTGCAAAGTGGCTTACGTAACTTAAGTATCCACGTTTTTTTGAACGGCCGCTACATACTTGAAGATAACAATGTTTCACATCTCGTTCCACTGTATCCTCCAGTACATGTACACGAGTAGCCATTGACCTGATCTGTACATGTTCCACCGCTTTGACATGGATTACTAGAACACTCGTTGATATCTGTAAATAAATGGCTCCATATTGATCTGCATTCTATTCAATACGCAATTATTACTACAAACTTACGATTTTGACAATTTGCTCCATTGTATCCTGCAGCACATGTACACGAGTAGCCATTGACTTGATCTGTGCATGTTCCACCGTKWWGACATGGATTACTTGAACACTCGTTGATATCTGTAAACAAATGAATCGATATTGATCTGTATTCTATTCAATAGACAGTAATAACTACAAACTTACTATTTTCACAGTTTGCTCCATTGTATCCTGCAGCACATGTACACGAGTAGCCATTGACCTGATCTGTGCATGTTCCACCGTGAAGACATGGATTACTAGAACACTCGTTGATATCTGTAAACAAATGGCTTCATACTGATTTGGAAATTTGGATTTCAATGAAAGACATCCAAGATAAATTTCTCTAAACTTGATATTGTTTTGGATTATCTGTAGTTATCTTTCGTTTTTCATGTAAAATTAACCAGGTATTTAAAACGTAAAAATGTCGGCCATGCAAAACTTTGTCCAAGAATTTTTCAAGAACAAAACTAGTCCCTGGTGTAGTTGGTGGTTGGTTGTGTACATGTGACAAAATTGCTAAGTGTGAGAGTAGTAAGGTCAAAAAACAAAGACTCGTGCAAGGAAAGCGATGTAGTGAATTTCTATTTTATTTTTTTCTTCGTGGTTTTCATTATGGGGAACATTATTTTCATCTCAAAGAAGAAAAAACAATTGAAGATTTTTCAGTTTTATCTAAATTATGCTACCTGTGCCTATTGGGAGCTCCGCTTCTAGGCAGTGCCTAAATTAATATTATTCAATTCAATAGACAGTGGAAAAAATGACATGGGTTTAACTCATAAAAAAAAGTGGTAAGTGTGAATTTTTTGCATTCGTTTTAGACGAAAGTTGTCAGTCTTCATGGAGTCATCACGCTGCCGAATTTCATATTCTTTTGTTTTCCACATAAGGACCGGAAAAAGAGCTTTAGAAGCATTTTAATCTTGTTAAAACAGCTGCATGAATGAGTAGAGTTGTCATGGGAATGCTTAGAAAGAGAAGGAGAAACAAAGACCCTCACGACAATTGCCAGAGTACTTATTTCAGGTGACATACATGTAGTTTTGAATGTGTTTCACTTCGTTTACTCTATTTTTTACTTCTGCTTTTATTTAATTGATTAAAGATATTTTGAAACAAAACATTTACCTTCACAGCGATTCTTACGAAAACCACTTGCACAATGACACTGTACATGTGGTGTCCATTGGATACAATCGATAACACAAGTGCCGCCATTTAGGCAAGTGTCATCATGACATCCAAGCTACAAAATAGAAAATATCATTACAAACTGCAACTGAAAACATCACAATATATATTTGAAAATCTAACCAATAATCTTTCCTTCATACTTTGATCATATAGCGATCTTATTAAAAACCTCAATTAAAAAAAATGGGAGTCGCCATCCCCGTTTTTCATATATCAGTTATCAGTGATTTATCAGGGTTTAATCAATTAGTTGAGCTAGTTAGAAAAACAAACCCTGGTCTAAATTGAGTAGAAATGTTTCTTGTGGCTGGCCTATGAAGTTCCAAAAATTTGTTGGTTTCTCAGTTTTAATTTTTTTAAATGTTCTACGTTTTTCCCTTTCTGGTTTCCAATCAGTGTTTTGTTCCACACATATAAAAAAGACTAAAAAGATTTCCACAAGCATCAAACAGTTGAACAAACTTACCCCAGCTGGTCTGAGTTGAGTGTAGACAAACCCGTCTTTCTTCTCAAATTCTCCTTTCTCTATCGATACACCTGTCTCGTCTTCAACTCCATAGTCATTCAACTCACACTTTCCCATTGTCTTTTGGATTTCAAAATTGACCGAGACACACCAATCTTCCTTTAGACAGCGAAGACTACACTGAATAAAGGTGGTTTTCTCCAGGGTTTTTCTAACGTGTCCTTTGAGTGCCATGTCTTTCTTGCTGATCAGGGCTCCAGCAGAACGTTCAGTGGGACAAATTACATTAGGTTCGTTATAACAATAGGGAAATGACATAAATGTCACGAACAAAAACATAATTTTGGAGGTAAGCATAGCCAAAGAAGTCTTATCTACTCGTAGTTACTTTAGGCCTAAGGTGAATCGTTCTTTACTCAAAGGAACGTCAGCAGACTACTAGAATACGGAACCAGTCAAAAGCCTGTAGGATCAAGAATGACAGCTTTGCATGATCATTTTTGCTGGTTCCCTAATGCCGTATCCAAAACATTTTCAAGGTTATAAGGTACTTTTGCTTGTTTGCTATTCAGTAGAGTCTTTCCCAAAGGACCTTTGGCTGAACTGATTCGTTATCAAAGTGATATATCAGCACTTGACTGTTTGTTGCAAATGACACGTCAAACTAGTCTCTGACCGAGGATCAGGCTTAGTGTTTGTTATGATTCACAAGCTCAAAAAGGCGTTGAGAAGACTTTAGAGACAAAGCGTGGAAATTATCAAAAGTTTGAAGCAGTTTCAAATAACAAGTGTATTATTAGAGCAATTTCTTTCCCTTCAAGCTTTTTTCATTGGGCAGCATACAAGGCGTGCGAAAAACCCCTCTCTTTAAATCCCTAAACTAGTCCCTTTTCGCCTTCCCTCACGCACACGATAAATTATGATCGGTACCAATATATGGAGGTTATAAATTGTTAGCATGAGTAGAGCCCAGTCAAAGCTTAATGCTGAAAAAAAGGCTAATGGAATGGTGTTTAGGAATCAGTGGACCATTAGATAATTGACGGGGGGGGGGGGGAGGGGGGGGGTTGCAGGAATTTTGGTTGCATGATATTTATTTTTTTGGCTCAACCCTTGCACGTTATTTTTTGCGTACAGTTAGATGTTGCACAATATCTTTTATGAGGTTTAAGTGCTTGCTCAATATTTTTTGGGGGATTTACGCAACCCCCTATCAACTATCTGATGGTCCGTCCCTTACCGTGAAGGAAGTAGTGTACAAAGGTGTGTAGTGCACAGAAGTAGTTTACGGAAGACGGTAAGAATAAGAATAAAACGCTTTGACTTAAAAACACTATAGGCTTTCAAATCGATCTATTTTAAGTGTTATTTTAAAGAAAAGGACAGGATAAATAGATGTGATTCTATAGAATTATGATTCATATTTTAAGCATCACTTCATTTTATCAAGGGTACGTAATGGTTTTCTAGTGCTTCATTCATATTTAGTTGTCACTGATGGAAATGTCTTGTCAAGTAAACCTTAGAGACAATGAAGTGCCCACTGACAGCGAACAGATTAAACGTTATTCCGAAAATATACTTTCGGGTTGATGTTCAAACGAGAAAAGCAGAAAAATGCGTAACAACCCAATGAACGAACACTATATTTCGGTTTAATCAGTCTAAACCATCATCAGGCGAAATGATATCATTGCATATACACGCATAACTACGCTGCTCTGTTTGTTAAAATGTTAGCAAACAAAGTGTAGAATGTAAAGCTTAATCTTTTTATCGGGAAAAAAATGGACACCATTGATAAGCATTCCGTTTGTTAGCACCAAATTTGCATCAGACTTTTGGATCTTTGTTGACTCAAGGACATTAAAAAACCCAAAACGCGAAATAAACTCTAGAATACGTTCTTTAGTTAACATTCAAGACGCTTGCCAAAACTACAGCTGGGAGCTCTAACATAACCTCATTTCAAATATGGATAGCGTTGCTTAGGGATAAAACGTGTCGCTGGTAGAAGGGATACTCTATTCCCCCTTTGTAACACCTTTTACAATGAAGATAAAATCTAGGACGTGTGATGTAGCCGGCGGGGTTGAACACTATGTAGCGTCAATCACTCAAACCGAGCCAACTTCTTTTAATGGCCACCGTTTTATTCAAATAAGAAGAAGGTAGCAACGACAAAATATTTGGCAGTCTTATTTGTTTAAATGACTCTTAAAAGGCAACAAACAGTGATGGCTAGCAAGGAATCTAAATGGAACAAGTAGCTGGGCACGTCTTGCTAAGCTCTCCACCCAAAGGTTTTGAAATAATAGTTGACCATGGCAAAACAGGAGCAGAACTTGAAGACGAAAAGCATTTACTTGAAAGAGTTTTAATTTCACATGACGTCAGTTCTCTGGACCAAATGTTAAGGTCAGCCAGGTAACCAATCATGAGTTTGGAGGAATCGTATCCACCGCCATAGCTACCCTGGTATTGACCAATCACCAGTATACCTCCGCTGGGAACTTTCTCGCCAATTTTGAGGCCCGTCTCAGAGCCTTTCAGCTTATTATCGCGATAAAATGACACATTGCCTGTACTAGACTTCCATGTGACGGCACAGTGCTGCCACTTATTGTCTCGCTTCACACCTGAAAATAAAACCCTTTAAAAAGGCAACAGGAAGTTATTCGTTATGCAAGAAAAAATCACAGTCCAGATACCCAAGTGCTCTTTAAAAGTTCAAAATGCGTACACAAGAAATTAGTGCAGTCTTGAAGATGATGGTTCTGTTGCTTTTTTAGCCATGATTTAGATCTTTGGCTAACAAAGCTTTTTAAAATTTGTCATCGTCACCGCCTCAAAAGTAAAACCTTGTGCACGCCCACATTCCTCTTTGGAATTTGAAATTGTTTTTGCCCATACGGGATAATAAAAGTGGAGTGCCTGAAAAATGCAATTTCTCGAAGCACACAAGAAACCAGTTAAACATTATTGCATGATCTATGACTGATCTAAAGATGATCCGAGGATCGAACCCACGACGAATAAAGGCGGCTCTTAAATCTTAAAAACAGTTTTGAGCTTTTTAAAATCGAAACTTACTTTGTCTCTCCCGCGACGGTAACTTCTGCCATCCCATCGTCCTTGATACCAATAATGAGGGCTGAAATAACGCTCAAAGAAACATACGAAAACGGGTACAGAATAGCCCTCTGGTCTGACACTTTCATCCAAAACGACACGGTAAGAGTATCAAGGTCAGCAGGCAGTGCGCTGCGTATTACAATGGCGTTGAACAACGACAACGAAGAAGGGAAATAAACCTCGCAGTTTAAACCTAAAATTACGTAACATCATGATTAATAAAAGTTTAGATTTTCAATGATGATTTTTATTAAATTTTATTTAATAACTAAACTTAGCTAGCCATGTTTGCAATAAGCCTTCCTTTATATTTTTTTCCTTTCCTGCCGTTCTCATGACCTTTATTCTCCACCTATCCATTCATCCAAACAACCAACCAACCCACCATCTATCTATGCATTAATACATGCTAGAACACTCGTGGATATCCGAAAAAATGAATCGATATTGATCTGTATTCTATTCAATAGACAGTAATAACTACAAACTTACTATTTTCACAATTTGCTCCATTGTATCCTGCAGCACATGTACACGAGTAGCCATTGACCTGATCTGTGCATGTTCCACCGTGAAGACATGGATTACTAGAACACTCGCTGATATCTGTAAATAAATGGGTCCATATTGATCTGCATTCTATTCAATAGTCGATATTCACTCCAAACTTTCTATTTTCGCACACTAAGAGTTTGTTCACCTCCACAGTTGGCATTGCAGTGAATTGTAAACTATTTTAGAGGACATATTTTCAAAGTGGCTTCTTATTCGTTCCCTAAAACAGTCCCACAATGCACTGCAAAGCCAATTTGACCCAGTTTTTTTCTCAACCTCGGAATGAATAATACATTACTAAGTACTTTTACCGAAATTACAATAAAATTGATGTAGAATTAATATAAGTAAATCAGAACATCTAAAATGTTCAACTACCAACTTTGGATTCGGGTCTGTGAGTCTTCGTGATCAGGCAGCATAATGATAGATTTTGATTTTCCCCCTGATTTTGACATTACAATTACTGCACATGATGGCGGTCACTCCAAATCAGTGAGTAAAATATTCTGCTAAAGAAATTAATGGCAGTCAAACTTAGACATCTTCTTGTCATTTCATTGATGCCACTCCATGCAACCAACTTAGCCATCAAAGCATATCGATAAAAAGAAAAGAAAAGCCTAATATGTGTAACGTACAGCTTTGATGTGAGAGCACTTACATTATCAAAACTGTGATAATAGTTGAATTGATATAAGAAGTAACCCACCTTCGCATCGTTTCCCACGAAAACCACGCGGACAAGAACACTGTGGTTGCCATTTGTTACATTCGACGACACAAGTGCCGCCATTTTTACAGGTGTTGTCATGACAACCAGACTTAAAAAAAGATAAAAGAAAACGGTCTTTGTGATATTTGGTCACTCTTTCGTGAGCCTAATTGAATGGTAACCATATTCAATTTGTTTTTTCAAGCCCTCCCTTTTATTCTCTTTTCATAATATTCATTTTAAAATCATTTGCAAATCATACAATCTGATTGGTTCCCTGCAGTAATGATTTTGTATAAGTACTTAGCATGGCTTGCATTGACATTTGGCATAACACCACGAATGATATTTCGAAATAGCTCGGTAATTTCACGAGCCGTTTTAATTCAGCGAGTGACAAAATCATAGGTTATCGTACGGTGAAGAGTGAAATTAAGGATAAATTTTACGCGTGTTTGTCAGAGCAAAGTAATTTCAACCAGTCACCACGTGATTACCAATTAATATTATAGAGAAAAAATTACGGCAAATAGTTCAGACAGTCATAAATTTATTTGAATCGGTAGGATTTGAGCCTAGTGGTAACAAAAAGATTTAAAAGAATTTTGACGAGTTCAAGATACAAAGACATTAGTACTGCTTTCAGTCATAGATTGAAACGTGCTTTTTCTCAAAAATACGAAAATCAAAAACATGCATGAGACCTGGAATTGTTCATTGCCGGAACAGAAGAGTAGTCTCGTTTCCCATCCGTGCAATGTTAGCGTTGTTAACTCTTAGTATAATTTTCGCGAACAAATTCCACTCCACTCAGTTCTATTACAATTATTTTTTCTTAACAAAAATAACATCTGCAAATAGTTGCAGCAAAATTAAATTAAAAATGGTTGAGCAAACTTACCCCAGCTGGTCTGAGTTGAGTRTAKACAAACCCKTCTTTCTTCTCAAATTCTCCTTTCTCTATYGATACRCYTGTCTCGTCTTCAACTCCATAGTCATTCAACTCACACTTTCCCATTGTCTTTTGGATTTCAAAATTGACCGAGACACACCAATCTTCCCTTAGACAGCGAAGACTACATTGGGTAAAGGTGATTTTCTCAAGTGTTTTTGAAACATGTCCTTTGAGAGCCATTTCTGTCATGCTGATCAGGGCTCCAGCAAAACGTTCAGATGGACAGGTAAATTTTGGTTCGTTTTGACATGTTGTCAGTGGAAAAAATAAACTCAGCAAACACACATGAAGTTTACAAAACGAAGCTAACGATTTCATAAACATTGTAAGTTAATTCGACACTGACAGCCTGACCTTATTTTGTTGCCAAATGACGCCCATGAAATAATATCACAAAGCTATACATCTTTATAAAGGAAGGAAGCTCAGTTTGGAGGTAAACCATTAAGTACTTGGCCAAGTGTGTTTTTATAATGCTCTCTTCCCCTGCAGTAGTGGCTAATGGAACTCTCATTAACGCGGGTGAAATGACTTCGCTATTATTATAGCTTTTCAAATTTTGCTTTTATAAATAGATCACAGTTGAGTTCTTAAGTCTCATTAAACTTCAGATTGCTTTGCTATTAAATTTGAAGTTGCTGCTGTAAAAGAGGTTTAGGAAAAGTCAATCTAACAACAAAAGGTAATTGGAACTTTAATAGCTGTTTTCTTAATAAGCAGACCTCCACAAAAGTAGAAGAAAAAAGTTCCTATTTTTTGGGTGTTTAATCGATTGAGCTTCAAAATACTAGTAAAATAGTTTCCTTCTTTTTCTTTTTCTTTTCCTTTTTCTTGTTCTTTTTCATATCAAAATTTCTCCCATATAAAATTGTCGTTCGTGTGGCCATCAACTCTATATCCATATTTGGTAAGCTTACCTTATTTGGAAGCGAAATATTTTTTTGGTGATTTTTCCGCTATTGTTGTAAAATGTCGAAAATGTGACTCAAATTAAAACTGCTGGGTTTTTTTTTCAATTTTTTTCTTTTCATTTTCTCTTTTTCTTTGCCTTTTTTTTCTTGAATGGATGTATTTTCATGGATGGTACCGCCAGTTATATACTTTCACTATGAAAATTCGTCCACAAAGCCCTAGGCACGAATGGAATAAGATATGGGAAAAATTCGGCGCGAGGCTTCGCGAGCGACTAGCTTCGATGGTTTTTATGTGACTATGGTCATTCATCGCTGCGGGGAGAGGGGGTGGGGGGAGTTTTTTCCCTTACTTCTCGTTTCCCGCAAACGAGCTAAAATGTGCAGTTTCTTGAGGCAAAATTAGGTTTAGGTACAGGCTGTAGATATTGCTTAAGACTGGAGTATATTTTGTCGTGTTTTAGTTTATGCAGAAGAATAAGGTCAGTTGCCTGTCGTCTACATTCAAGAGGTAGGATGTCCAGTATAAATAATCTGTCAGTATAAGTCATATCGTCCGGATAGTTCAATATAAACTTTGTAGCCCTTCGCTGTACACATTTAAACGTTGAAGTTTTTTTAGTATACGGTGACCAAAGACTTGAAGCATATTCGAGCTGAGGTCTCACAATAGCTAAATAAAGATGTAATCTGTAAAATGTATCCGTAATTTCTCTACCACACACGATTATCAAACCAAGACACTTGCTTTGGAGCACATTTCCTCAACATGCTTTGCCCAGGTGAGGTAACGAGTATTATAAACAACCACACGTCGCTGAACCTGGTCAAACAAATAACTAGCATTTTGAGCGACCTCACACGCCGCTGAACTTTTACCAAATATTAATTAACGAGTATTTCGAGCGACCTCACACGCCGCTGAACTTTACCAAATACCTAACCAACATTTTGAGCGACCTCACTCGCCGCTGAACTTTGGCCAAATGATTGAGTATTTTGAGCGACCTCACTCGCCGCTGAACCTGGCCAAATAAATAACGCAAATCATATAAAAATAATTTACCATTTATCTGATGTAGAATCATTACTAAGAATATTGAGGTAGGGTCTATATTTAGATCTTATTAACTGAGCGGGAGGTTTGTACGGGATAATCTTGACCGAGGTCAAGATTATCCCGTACAGACCGACCAAGCTCGGTTGATAAGAGTTTTATCATATGACCACTTTTCATTGAAAAGGACAAAATGTTTTCGCCGTAAGATTAATATGCGATCGGACCGGTTAATACCGGAGAATCTAGACCAGTCCGCGATAAGATCTATCCAATTAGATTGCTCGATTTGCTAGTGTCCAGGATCTAAGATTCACGGTCATATAATATAGACACTTTAATCAACCAGTTATGGATGATGCATAGTAACATAAATTGAAAACAGGATGTACAGAAATCCCGGAAAGAAATGACAATTCCGATTCTAATTAAGAAAATAAAAGATATCGTCCAAAAGATCCAATTCAGTTTCCAGATACTCAATAACTAATGAGTTTTATATTTCTATTGCAATGGTGGACAGGTTTTTATTTTTCGCTGACCAATTTTCACAGGCTTCATGACACCTCAGTTTTGCAGTGACGTAATCTTTACGTCGCTACTTCAGAGCAGTTGGATAATAGTGAAACTCGACGTATGCATCTGTTGGCTTCAAGAGCTCAAGCAAATTTCTTTACACACAAAATAAATTGAGCTCCATAGACAAAGCATACTCTGCGCGCAATAGCGTTTTCCACTAAAAATATAGATATCGTAATGGCTTGTGGGATCGAAACGCGACAAACATTGCAAATAAAGGTTTCGATTACATGGAGAAGAAGAATATCAATCGAATGCAAGCTCACCGTACGTCTTGCTTCGATGCAAAGACACGGCTACCTTTCAAGATGGAACAGGAAACTGTCAAAGGGACTAATGGCAACCACAGGACTACAAACCATTGTTGCCTGTTAGCATGTTCGCTGGGCTTGGCATGTCCGCGTCTCTATTCCATGCACAATTGTGACGTCATCCGTGGAAAACGCTATCATTGAGCATGCGTAGGAAGAATGCAAAGACACTGCAACAACACGTATTGTTTCTACAGTTCTCTAATCTGGTTTTCCAGCGTCTATTCAAACGCGAGTCCCACAAAGCTAATTCTAAAGTTTTACTGAAGCGCTGGCATTATTTGCTCATTTATTAAGAATATAAAAATATACAGCCCTTTTTTTCCTGACCAAAATAACAAAATTTATTAAAACTCATTATAGGTACAATTCCAGCAATGAATTCATGCTGGCCATACTGATGCTTTTCACTGTGATGTCATGCTATTGAGAGAAAAAAAATCAGAAAAACAGAGTTTGCAGCCAATTTTTTACTAATATCTTTATGACAACTTTGAATATCATTTTCTTTTTCCAATAAAACAATTTTATCAACCGCGTGACGTCACATGAAAAACCTTTACGTCCTATAATATCTGCGCATCGGTAAGCTAAGCCGAGCCAGAACCTGCTTTCCTTTGAGTCAACAAAACTCTAAAGTAAATTCATGTTATTCGATTGAACAAAGAAAACCTAATGTACAATTTTGAAATATTGATATTTTGACCTCAAAGTAGGAAAATACTGCAGTCTCTCATTAGTTTCTGTTGACCACTGGAATGCGGACTCCGGTATGAGGACTTAGAGCTTTTAAAAGTATAATTAAAATCATTGTTTCTAAATTCGAGCACTGCCATTACCATACATATCTACAGGAATCATGATTGGAATTTTTTTACAATTAAATGCATAAGTGCATTTTCTCTGTTACAGATTTTAAGAAGGAAGAAAAAGGTGGGGGGGGGGGGGGGGGG